TGTTGGGAACAAACAATCTTAAGCGCCTCTGTCGTGTCGAAACACCAAGGCACAAGCGAAGCAGAGCATATCGAGGCACCAGCGAGTCAACCCTCGGAGGTTGAAGTAACCGCTGGAGGTTACGCGAAAGTCAAAGGTCAGCGACCTTTGACTTGACAAATGTAGCGCGACAGCAAGGACACACAACTGACTCGACATTGAGCAGTTGCCCGAGTCGCACTGTATCGAACCGCAACAGTAAAACAGTTTAATTATATCTCTTCGTATTCTTTGTACTCTTATATAAACCTTTGTACTTGCTTGTTTTAATCAACTTACTTTGCCCTCACATACCAGCGCAAGGTGGTTCAAGGACTTCATTTAAACGCTTCCGCTACTACATCACTCTACCCAGAGTTTAACCCTACCAAAGATCCTAAGGGGCACTCAGCCCAACACTACGGACGTGAACGAGAGGAACGGGATCCCACAGGATCCTAACCTAGGTGATACCATGTCAAGAATGAAAGTGTTCGTTCATTGATGTGGGTTGGGGTACATATAACAAACCCTAACATCTGTACCCCCTAAGACAAACCCTAACATGTGGGTTGAGGCTACAGATTCTAGCAGCAGCAGCACGTCCAACCCCTCTGCTCCCTGAACCCCCATGAACCACGGTGTAGGCCCATACCAAACCCTATATCACTGCCAAAACGGAACCTCATCCCATAACCGCTTGAACCGCTCTGCAGCTCCAGATTCTAGCATGAGCTGTACATCCAACCCCTCTGCTCCCCCAATCCCTTCCATCACTACCACCATGCCATCGCAGCATGGGAGCCTCGGCAAGCCCCAGGTACCATGGCTGGGCGCCACAATCCGCCCTGTACAAGCCTATATATACACCAGGCTCTTGCCATATCAACCCCAGAACGGAACCTCATCCCATAGCCTCTTGAACCGCTCTGAAGCTGCAGACTCCAGCATAAGCAGCACGTCCAACCCCTCTGCTCCCCCAACCCCCATGAACCTCGGTGTAGGCCCATACCAGAACCTACATCACTGCCAGAACGGAACCTCATCCCATAGCCTCTTGAACTTCTCTGAAGCTGCAGCCTCCAGCAAAAGCAGCACATCCAGCCCCTCTGCTCCCCCAATCCCTTCCATCACCACCACCATGCCATCATTGCATGGGAGCCTCGGCAAGCCCACATACCACGGCCGGGAGCCAAAATCCGCATCATACATGCCCAGATGCACCCATGACATCAGCATGATGTCATCCCCGAAGAAAAACTTCGTCCCAACTCGCACGAAGGAGAGGTTTCGTTGCTCCGTGACGAATTCTATTGCGTCACGCATGTAGGTATCGGAGCAGCTTGTAATGGATCGCCGGATTCTCCGCGCAATGAGGCGCAGTGCAGCAGGTGTTGTCTCCCTAAGCTCCGAAGCGGAATAACAAGATAAGGCGTTGTAAACTACATTTCCACAGTAATTTTCGGGCAGAGGAGGAATTAATATTCTCCTGGCGTTGACTCCGGTGGTGAAACGGACATCTTTATTATGGCCTCTGGCTTGAGAGACTAAGAGGAGCATGAGTGCCGACACAGAGTCAATAGTGCTGACGTAGGTGGGTCCTTGAGGGCCATGATCCGTTGAATGGTCTTCTGATCTGGAATCCGACGGCTCTGGTGCGATGGAGCCATTCAACGGTCCAGATGCAACAGATTTGAGTGTTTTGAGCTGGTTGGGGGACATGTGGAAGATGGAATGTGAGGTTGCAGGAAACACACGCTTTGCTGCTGCTGCTGCTGCTGCTGCTTTTGAAACTGTTGGTGCTGCTGCAACTGCTTCTGATGCATGTGATGCTGCTGTTTCTGTAGCTGCGGGCTTCAATGCTGCGGCTGCTGCTGCATGTGCAGGTTTTGCAGAAGGTTCTAGAACCTTCAACTCTGGATGAGGCAGCTTGCACCCAACTCCCTTCCCAAACAGCAGCGACCTGTCATGACAAATCACCTGCTGCTGCTCTGTACCACTCCTCACCCCTCTGTACCGCATCCCCCACATCTTCATGAATGTGAACATACCCTCGCCGTCCATCAGGCAGTGACTAACATTTACACCGACAGCCATCCCGCCATCCGCTAGAATAGTAGCCTTGATGGAGATTAACTCAGTCCGCTCGCGCTCCGGCATTAATGACATAGGAAGGGAAGCCATGGCCTCGGTGGTTGTGAGAGTAGGGATGAGGTTTTGACAGGAAAGAGATTCTTCTCGGTCCAGGTCGGTTGGCCCTCGCACGGAATCTGGTAAGAATGCTTTTGGGACTAGAGTGAATCTGATTGCTTTCGCGCCAGCCGCAAGGCATTCCCTCGTTTGTTGCACACTCGCTACGCCCGTTACAGGATCAACGTGCAATCTGCCCAGCATAATAGGGTAATCTTGTTCGATTAGATCCACGAATGACGCGCGAAGTCGATCCAAATCGTACGGTTTATTCATCAACTTCTCGGTTGTCTCGGCGAGCATATTAGTATGTGCCTCGGAAGACATTACAGCTTCAGCATAAATAGGTTCGTAAGGCCTATCTGAATCGGCAAGTGGTGCATACGTTCGGCCGGTAACTCTTCGAGGCTCGAGAGGGGGGGACTCGCGGGTTCTTGGAGGTTCGGGAGGCGGGAAAATGTTAAGTATGGTGAACCCAAACCGACCCATTACTGCATCTTGCGGAGATAATCGAATCATCTTATCCTCAATCGTAGCCGCCGCGCCAACAGTATTAGCAGCCTTAGCGCCAGCTTCTAGCTTATATGTAACACCTCGCTACCCACTGGGTCAAAACGAGGGTCTTATTTGGCGCAGCGGAGTGCCCTTAACACAGCCCACAGGCGTTACACTCGTCCCCCCCTGGTGCCAACGTCCCCGTTGGCCCTGGACTTCAGGAAGTCGGCCCCCTGCCGCTGGGACCTAGATTTCGTAGTGCTGCTGGCTGCGACTTCGCTGGTTGCTCAGGCCAGCGGAGGATCGTTCGCTGGGTTCGAGCTGGTTACAACCGCACTTCAGTTCTCGCCAAAGGCGGAAAGTGTGGTCCAGCCGGGATTCGAACCCTAGGCTCTGATTCCAAATGTAACACCTCGCTACCCACTGGGTCAAAACGAGGGTCTTATTTGGCGCAGCGGAGTGCCCTTAACACAGCCCACAGGCGTTACACTATACGTTGCGGCGGAATTCTCGGTTTTAGCTACCATGATGGTCCAACGCGAACAAATAACAGATGAGCGCGGCCAGGCAAGAACGCGTGCGAGAGGTAGGAGGACTGGCGGCACGGAAAGAAATAGAAGATAGGTGAGCGAGAGAAGAGACGCTGGAAAGCTCGGAAAACAAGAATCAATTGCGGGTGTGCGGTACAAAGAACTCATATTGTGGAATGCATCGTGTCAGGAGTCTCGTTGGCAAGAATATTACACTGCAGCCGGGGCAACGGAGCAAATTTGGTAATGCCGTAGTACATATGGCCTGATTATCGAGATTTCACGCGCCGGGTCGGCCAAAAGACGAAGGGTAACTCGAGCTTCCGTGGGGACACGGGAATTTCACTTCTAGAAAGCCGGTTTTCCGCGCTCTCAAACGCAGACCCAGTTCGGCTCGCAATGCGAGATTTTTGTCGGGTAACTATGTTTTGCGTTCGCACCCGTGTTCTCTCAGCATTTCGCCTTCTCTCAATCCCGTCGCATGTGCGAATTGCAGGTTGAGTACATATCAAGATTTCGTAGCGTGGCGGTCTCAGGCTCTGGTTTCCTGGATCATTTATTGGAAATCATCGCGCGCTAATTCCGCACAAACAGTCAGGCTCGGACTAGGCTCGAGGGGGGTTCAGTTTGGTTTTGCGAGGCATGTACCACGTCCTGACGGCATGTACACAAACACCGAACACTCCTGCTTGGAATGGACCACGTTACCGCATCGAAAAGTTTTGAAACCCTATACACAAGATGCCCAACCCCTGCGCGCGAATTTGCCCTGCCCGCGATGGAAACTCTGCACCCGCGTATTAGGGTGCCAGCCAGTTGCACCCCATTTACAAGCACCTCGAGCAATACGAACCACAAAAACCGAAGTTTGACAGAAGAGACCAACGTCAAACGGTCAACAGAGGGTTACAAAATCTTTTAAAAGCCCTTTTTGCTATGTGCGAATTGACGAAAACTTAGCGAAATGCAAGAATCGCTTAAGAGCCCTCTTCACAAGGCAACCTTGGGCTAGTCAAACGGGCATCTTGTGTACACCATCTGTTTTAAAATGTCGGGGCTTGTACCCGTTAGTAAGCACCCCATGGCAAACTTGGTACTAGGTCACTCATGTGTAATCATAAATAGCTAACAAGTTGCACTAGCTTCATTCCAATAATGAAGTGCACACCATTTTGTTCTGTTAACACCATTTTCTGGACCAAACATTTTTCGGGTCCTTGTACAACCCACAGCACGCGTGTGGCATAGCAACATTTATGTTTACTGGGTTATTTTGAAGGCCGGTAAGCCCATCCATGGGACTGTAGAAAATGTTCAGCAGCATCCCTTGCTCCCCGGTTAGGAATGAGGTGCTGAGATAAAAGAGGCCTCCGGGTTACTGGATCAAACGAGTTGCCCTGAACAAAGAAAGAAATATTGATCAAGATTGGTACGGACTCTCATACGTCACCTTAGTGAGATTACATCACTCCGCTCGTACATCATTCCACTCGGTGTTATCACGTATTCAATAAAATGCAACTCATATTTCAGCACATTGGTCTAACACTCTTACCACTTTAAGATGCACCTCTATTGCCGATCTCTCATACGTCACTCCGCTTGGTGTTATCACGGGAAAATAGACAGCCACTCTCAACACACTCTTACTGCTTTAAGGTGCTCCTCTATTACCGATCACTCGTACGCCACTCCGCTCGGTGTTATCACGGGATCATAAAAGGCCACTCACATAAAAACACTCTTACGACTTTAACATGCTCTCACCGCTTTAAGGTGCTCCTCTATTGACGATCGCTCGTACGTCACTCCACTCGGTGTTATCACGGGATCGCGGAGAATGTCGAGCATGATGCGACACGACAGGTGCTCTGGTAGCTGGTGTGAGGAGGAGGGGAATGGGGATGGGTACGGGGGGTGGTAGGAGAGAAGGGCAGGAGGGAAGAAACGGGTGCATGTCGAGCATGATGCGGCACGAGAGGTGCTCTGGTAGCTGGTTCGAGCACGAGAGGCAGAGAGAGCAGTAGAGAAGCAGAGAGAGGGGAAACAAAGACTATAACATACGGCCCATACCTTGCTGCTGCAGGGTATTTTTGAGTTTTCTCAAAAATACCCTGCAGAAGCAGAGAGAGGAAAGGCAAAGCCAATACCATACGGCCCATACCTTGCGAGCCAAAACAACTTGTTCCGTGCCTCTGCTTTCCCAATGGACGACTGGAGCCGCAGATAGAAGCAGAGAGAGGGGAGAAAGAGTCAAACACAACACCTCGCCAGGAGTATCCTATCCTCTGCCCGTGCCAGTCGGAACACACTGCTTAACACCTCTGCTTTCCCAATGGACGACTGGAGCCGCAGATAGAAGCAGAGGGAGCAGCAAACGGACCGAGAAAGCAGACGTGAAGTAGAGAGAGATTGGAGAAGGCCCGAGCTCAGCTCAGCTCGGCCATACCTCGCCAGGAGTGTCCTCTTCCTCTGCTGAGCGCCTCTGCTTCACAAACTCTCGGTGATTAGCTGGAGCTTTCTCAGTGCAGCAGAGAGGCTGAGCGAGGGCAGGCAATGAACCAAGTAAGTGCCATACCTCGCCAGGAGTGTCCTCTTCCTGTGCTGAGGGCCTCTGCTTCACAAACTCTCGGTGATTAGCTGGAGCTTTCTCAGTGCAGCAGAGAGGCTGAGCGAGGGCAGGCAATGAACCAAGTAAGTGCCATACCTCGCCAGGAGTGTCCTCTTCCTGTGCTGAGCGCCTCTGCTTCTGCTTTCTCAGAGCAGCACTGAAGCAGCAGAGAAGAGCACCAGCTTCACAAACTCTCGGTGATTAGCTAGTGTTTAATTATACACACTGTCTTTTTCCTACTTGCTTAAAACTACTCCTATGCAAGTGCTGCTCACTGGAAAATGTCCCAAGCTCTGCTTCTGCTTTCTCAATGTACAACTGAAGCAGCAGAGAGGCTGAGCGAGACCAGGCAATGAACCAAGTAAGTGCCATACCTCGCCAGGAGTGTCCTCTGCCTGGGCCAGCCGAAACACGTTGCTCAGCGCCTCTGCATTCTCAATGTACGACTGGAGCAGCAGAGACGCCGAAGGAGCAGAGAATAGCCCAAGTACCGTACCTCGCCAGGAGTGTCTTCTGCCTGTGCTAGAGTAAACACGTTGCTCAGCGCCTCTGCCTTTTCAATGTACGACTGGAGCAGCAGAGAGGCCGCCTCCTCCACTGCTGTCGCATCCTCTGCTGCATCCCCAGCTGCAGGCCCCGCTGACGTGGCATTGTCTGCTGACGTGGCATCTACGGCTGATGTGGCACCCTCTTTTGACAGGAGGCTGGCCTCTCTGGCCTGACCTTCGTTGTAGTCACACTGTTCCTGAGTGAACCCAGAACCAGACCCAGCTGCTGTGCTGCATCGGGTAAAGTCACCCTCATTAGAATCACCTTGATCACAATCACACCTCCCTTCTTGCATACACCTGGTTTCTGTACAAGCCCCTTCGATACAGTCACTCCAGCAACGCCGGCCCACTCCATCCTCGTTATAGTCACTCCTCTCTGCAGGCCGTAGCTGTCCTGGTGCTGCTAATGCTGCCCCTACATCGTCTGCTGCTATGCCTGCTGAACCATTCGCTGATGAACCATTTGCTGCGTCGATTTCACATCTGTCCATCCCTGCACCACCAAGCATTGCAACAGCTGCCCGGGAACCCCTGGGAGAAACACCACCAAGCATTGCAATGGTCGGGACTGCCACTGCCGTTGCTTCTCCTTCTCCTCTTACTGATAATGCTGCTGATTCCCCTGATTCAACAGCAGGAGCAGCAGCAGTAGCAGCAGAAGGCAGGAAAGGAGTAGCAGCATTCCCTTCCCCTGATTCAACTGCCACTGCTGCTCCTGTTCCTGCTCTTACTGGATCAGATGGTGCTGCTGCTGCTGTTACTCCTCCCACTCGATCAGACTCCCCACCTAGTTCTGCTGCTGACGCAGTAGCAGACGCCCTAGCCGCCGCTGCTGCTGCTGCTGCTGCTGCTCCTCCTCCTCCTCCTGCTGCTGCTGCTCCTCCTCCTGCTGCTGCTGCTGCTCCTCCTCCTCCTGTTGTTGCTGCTGCTGTTGCTACAGGGGGGGCACTGGTGGTGTTCGGCGCTCGGGGCACGGAGGGGCAGCAGCAGCTGCCTGGAAACCCCTGGGAGGAGAAGCACCCCCCTCTCGGCATCTGAGGGGATAGCGGCCCTTGCTCCGCCCCTCCTGAACCTGCTGACGTGCCAGCTTCTCTTGTTGCTGACGTGGCATTGATTAACGTATGTGACTGTAACGAAGGTGACTGTGGAGGGGTGGAGGAGGGGGAGGAAGAGGAAGGGTCGTCCCTCGATAGCGCGTCAAGGGTTTGAAGGGCATCTTGCTGGATCAGCAGAGGTTTAGAACCTGGGGAAGAGAGGGGGAGGGAGACAGGGAGAGACGGTGAGATTCTATTTTTGAGGCACCTCAAAAAGGAGGAGGAAGAGGAGGCGTCCCCACTCAGTGGCGCCTCTAGGGTTTGATTTGAAGCGCGTCCTGGTGGATAGGCAGAGGTTTAGAACCTGGGAATGAGAGAGAGAAAGAGAGGGCGAGGGAGAGGGAGAGAGGGAGAGACAGGGAGAGGGAGGAGGAGTGAGAGAGGAGAACGCTCCACGGTGGTGGAAAGAAGGCACCCCTCAGTAGAGCCTCGAGGGTTTGAAGGGCTGCTGAATTGGAAGCGGTTTAGGCGAGAATAAGGAAGCGAGAAGAATAATCACCATCATTATCGATACCAATACCATCAACATCATCATCTCATCGCCACCACCACCACCAGCACTATTATTTATCATCACCACTCTTCACCTCACATCACCGCTCATCACCGCGCATCACCTGTGATCGCAGCCAAATCTGCCTGCAATTGCTCCTTCAGCAGCTCTCCAAGGAAAGCCCTGAAGCAGACGCATGCGTGGAAAAGGAGAGGATGCAGGGAGAAAAGAATAGGTGGCTTCTGACTAGACAGTTTCTGAGGTGCTCACAATTGACTGGAGCAGCTGTTTCAAGAACCCCTCTAGCAAACACCTAAATACAGAAGCACACGTGGGGCATGCGAGTATGTGAGTGGCATGCGAGTATGTGAGTGGCATGCGAGTATGTGAGTGGCATGCGAGTATGTGAGTGGGCATGCGAGCATGCGAGCGAGCGTGTGCGTGCCTCCCTAATTCCAATCCCCTAATTTCAATTCCCTAATTTCAATCCAGAAACAGAATTTCAAGCTTACTTTTGAGCCGACTCAGAAGTCAACCGTGAGTGAGCGTGTGTGCACACGCATGTGTGTTTGCCTACTTGCAGAATCAGTGCTCCCCCCTTTTGAGCCGACTCAAAAGCCCCCACCTCAGCTGCTGCTGCTGTTGCTGCTGCTGCTTCTTTCTCAACCACGACTCCACCTCCCGTTGCCGATACCTTGTGTGCAAGTGCATACGCATGTGTGCAAGTGCATACGCATGTGTGCAAGTGCATACGCATGTGTGCAAGTGCATACGCATGTGTGCAAGTGCATACGCATGTGTGCAAGTGCATACGCATGTGTGCAAGTGCATACGCATGTGTGCAAGTGCATACGCATGTGTGCAAGTGCATACGCATGTGTGCAAGTGCATACGCATGTGTGCAAGTGCATACGCATGTGTGCAAGTGCATACGCATGTGTGCAAGTGCATACGCATGTGTGCAAGTGCATACGCATGTGTGCAAGTGCATACGCATGTGTGCAAGTGCATACGCATGCGTGCCCGTGAGTGTACATGCACGCCACGATAAAAAGCAGTGCTCCCCTGCCCCCTCCCCTCACCTCAGCTGCTGCTGCTTCCTCTTTCGCATCCACGATTCCACCTCCCACTGCCGGTACATTGCGTGTGTGCGTGTTCACATGGGTGTGTGCATGCGCATGCTCATACTTTCCACACCTGTGCGACCGACTCACCTCAGCTGCTGCTGCTTCCTCTTTCGCATCGACGATTCCACCTCCCACTGCCGGTACCTGGCAGTTGTGAGGAGGGGAATGATGGAGGAGACAGGAGGGAGGAGAGCAACCGAAGCATTAATTTGAGTCGCATCAAACAGAGAATCCACCTCCCACTGCATGCATGCACGTCTCTAGCAGCCCTGCCAGCCCGAGGTGACTTTTGAGTTGACTCAAAAGTCAGCTCTGTCCGCCCATCCCACAATAGCGTAACACCCACCCGCACCCACCTGCCACCCGCACCCACCTGCCACCCGCACCCACCCACCTGGCAGTGGCCATTGCATTCCACACGTCGTTCAGGTTGCCTGTGCTGCTGCCCAGCACTGCACGGAGCAGTGACGAATCACTCCTGAGCACCAGCTGCGTGCTCAGGAGTGACGAATGCAATGGCCGCTCGAAGCCCTGCCCGCCCACCCCACCCAACAACAGAGTCGCACAACCACCCACCTGGCAGTGGCCATTGCGTTCCACACGTCGTTTTTCCTCTGCTGCAGCCCAGCCCAGCAGTGCATGCCTCCCTCCGTGCTGCCTAGCAACAGCACAGCAGCAGCCGGACCCACCTGGCAGTGGCCATTGCGTTCCACACGTCATTCAAGTTCCCTCTGCTGCCCAGCCCAGCACTGCACGGCATGCCTCCCTGCCTGCCTGCCTACCCAACAATAGCACACCACCCACTCACCTGCCAGCAGCACCACCCACCCACCTGGCAGTGGCCATGGCGTTCCAGACGTCATTCAAGTTCCCTCTGCTGCTGCCCAGCACCTCGTCATCTCGTATGATCTCGACCGCCTGGTGACAAGCAACGCAGGGCAGAAGGAGCGGGTGTATCTGTTCATGCAAAGACAAGACCCCTTTGCCAGTGTACCCCTCTGCTGCTGCCCAGCACCTCGTCATCTCGAATGATCTCCATGGCCTGGAGGGGAGGCAAGCAGGCAGGCAGGTAGGTAGGCGGGGAGGGAGATGGGCAGGCAGGGAAGTAGGCAGGGAAGCAGGCAGGGAAGCAGGCAGGGAAGCAGGCAGGGAAGCAGGCAGGGAAGCAGGCAGGGAAGCAGGCAGGGAAGCAGGCAGGGAAGCAGGCAGGGAAGCAGGCAGGGAAGCAGGCAGGGAAGCAGGCAGGGAAGTAGGCAGGGAAGCAGGCAGGGAAGCAGGCAGGGAAGCAGGGGGGGAAAACAGTGACAGTGGCTCCCTCTGCTGCTGCCCAGCACCTTGTCGTCCCGAATGACCTCCACGGCCTGGTAAGACGGGAAAAGGAGAGGGAGAGGAGAGGGGAGGGAGACATGGAGGAAGGAGGAGGGCCCTTAGCGGCAGTGGCTCCCTCCGCTGCTGCCCAGCACCTCGTCGTCCCGAATGATCTCCACCGCCTGGTGGGGGTCAGGTCAGCACAGGGCAGAAGGAGCGGGTGTATCTGTCTGAGGGAGAGTATGAGAGAGCGATGGGGCGAGGGCAGGCAAGTTGGTCCCCTCTGCTGCTGCCCAGCACCTCATCATCTCGAATGACCTCCACTGCCTGGTAAGACGGGAGAAGGAGAGGGAGAGGAGAGGGGAGAAAGGGCAGGGAGGAAGGAGGAGGATCTCTTGTGGCAGTGGCTCCCTCTGCTGCTGCACCTCGTCATCCCGAATGATCTCCACAGCCTGGTGGGGAGGAGAAAGGAGGAGAGGGGGGGGAGGAAGGGAGGGAGGGAATGAGGGTGCGAGGGCAGGCAAGCTGGCTCCGTCTGCTGCTGCCCAGCACTGCATCCTCTCGAATCATCTTCACCGCCTTGTAAGCATCTTGCAGGCAGGCAGGCAGGCAGGCAGGCAGGGAGGGAGGGAGAAGGGAATTCCCAAGCTAACTCTGTCAGGGGTATTCTCAGGTAGTGGTGCGCCTGGTGCGGTGTGGTACCATTGGTCATTCCTCTCTCACCCATACCACTCATAGCACTCTCAAACCAGCTCTCACCCTTTCGAGCACATGAGCAGCCTCGGGGTAGCGAGCGAGCTCTGTGAGGGCCGTTCCCAGGTAGAAGTGTGCCTGTGTAATGCGGTTTCGTGTGGTGTGGTGTCGTGAAATGTGGTGTGGTGTGGTGCGGTGCGGCATGGTTTGCAGGGAAGAAATGGCGGAAGGAGAGTGGGAGAGGAAGAGAGAGGGGGGGAGGGAGGGAGACGGGCAAGAAAGAAGCGATTGATAAATAAGCCAGACTTTGAAAAGCAGCGCGACTGGCTTTTGAATCCATTCACTAAGAATACTTTTTTTTAAAATCGAAGACAAGCTCTGTGAGAGTCTTATCAGAAAGAAGCGTGCGCGGAAGAGAGGCACAAAAGCGTTCACATACCTACCAATACCATCCATACGTGTCCGCATGCACAGCATGGTTCCACAAGTAGAGAAACAGTCATGCATGCTCGACCTGCCATGCCAACTGGCGCAACGCCCACCTTGACAGACTTGTTGTCGTGCTCGATTGCTCTCACACAGGCATGCTCCCTTCCACCTGTCCACCTGTGAAAGTAAGGCATCCGCAGCAGCCCACCTGTCTCCCCTCGCATACACCCACCTTGACAGACTTGTTGTCGTGCTCGATTGCTCTCACACAGGCATGCTCCCTTCCACCTGTCCACCTGTGAAAGTAAGGCATCCGCAGCAGCCCACCTGTCTCCCCTCGCATACACCCACCTTGACAGACTTGTTGTCGTGCTCGATTGCTCTCACACAGTCATGCTCCACCAGTAGCCCACATCTACCCTGCAGTCTACCCCACAGTCATACCCTGCGCACTCACCTTGACAGACTTGCTGTCGTGTTCGATCGCATGCTCCGCCTGCCCACCTGTGGTGGAAGTAAGTAAGCCCTCAGCCCAGAACACTCACCTTGACAGACTTCTTGTCGTGTTCGATTGCCCGCACACAGTCATGCTCCACCAATAGCCAGTCGCTGGGGGAGAGGAGGGCAGGGGTTGGTGTGAGAGGAGAGGGAAGGAGGGGGGAAGGGGAATGGGAATGCTGGGATTGAGCTAGGCAGGCAGTCCGTTGATCGCCCGCACACAGTCATGCTCCACCAATAGCCAGTCGCTGGGGGAGAGGAGGGCAGGGGTTGGTGTGAGAGGAGAGGGAAGGAGGGGGGAAGGGGAATGGGAATGCTGGTTTTCAGCTAGCCAGTCCGTTGATCGCCCGCACACAGTCATGCTCCACCAATAGCCAGTCGCTGGGGGAGAGGAGGGCAGGGGTTGGTGTGAGAGGAGAGGGAAGGAGGGGGGAAGGGGAATGGGAATGCTGGTTTTCAGCTAGCCAGTCCGTTTATCGCCCGCACACAGTCATGCTCCACCTGCAGCCAGTCGCTGGGGAACGGGAAAGCAGGGTTGGCAGGGAGGGGGAAGAGTAGCAGGGAGGGGGGAAGTGCGGGCAGGGCAGTAAGGAAGAGAATCAATCACTGCTCTCACACAGTCATGCTCCACCGCTGGAGGAGGGGGCAAGGGCTGGTTGGGACGGGGGTGTTGGGAGGGGGAGGAGGGGGAAGGGAGGGGAAGAGGAGGTGGAGGAGGAGAATCATTCACGCTCCCACACAGCCATGCTCGACCTGACGGCAGTCGCAAAGAGAGCAATGGGGGAGAGGTTGGTGGGGTTACTTTTGAGTCGACTCAAAAGTCACCTAGTCGACTCAAAAGTCACCTAGTCGACTCTAAAGTCACCTAGTCGACTCTAAAGTCACCTAGTCGACTCTAAAGTCACATCATTCACGCTCCCACACAGCCATGCTCGACCTGATGTCAGTCGCGAAGAGAGCAATGGGGGGGAGGTTGGTGGGGTTGGTGAGGACGGGGGGGAGAGGGAGGGGAGGGAATGGTGCAATCCTGCTGAGCTGAGGAATTGAACTATTTGGTTGCTTTCACACTATCCTGCTCCCACCCGGCCCCCACATCCCACTTTTGCGTCGACTCAAAAGTCACTTTTGAGTCGACTCAAGAGGAATTGAACTATTTGGTTGCTCTCACACAATCCTGCTCCCACCCGGCCCTCACCTCCCACTCTCACTGTCGCTTACACTCTTCCCCACCCCGCCCCCACCTCCCACTCTCATCCCCGCTTCCTTCTTGGCACCCTTGCTCCAATGGCACAGGGCATGGTTAATAGGTCCGAGCAGAGAGCAACGAGGTTTTGCAAGTCGGTCCGAGCAGAGAGCAACGAGGTTTTGCAAGTCGATCCGAGCAGAGAGCAACGAGGTTTTGCAAGTCGATCCGAGCAGAGAGCAACGGGGTTTGCAAGTCAATCCGAGCAGAGAGCAACGGGGTAGCAAATGAGATTGCTCCAAAACCGAGTGCAATAAGTCCATCTGTGTCCCTTGGTCCCCCACCCTCGCAACAAGGGACACGGATGGACCCAAGCAAGCAGCCCTCATTCTTCTCACCCTCGCTTCCGGTGGCACAGAGCGCGGCTGGTCCAGAACGTGGCAAAGAGTTATGGGACGTCTCGACGTCTCAACAGTCAGCCCTCCTTCTCACCCTTTCCCCCACCAAGTCAGCCCTCCTTCTCACCCTTTCCCCCACCAAGTCAGCCCTCCTTCTCACCCTTTCCCCCACCAAGTCAGCCCTCCTTCTCACCCTTTCCCCCACCAAGTCAGCCCTCCTTCTCACCCTTTCCCCCACCCAGCCAGCCCTCCTTCTCACCCTTTCCCCCACCAAGCCAGCCCTCCTTCTCACCCTTTCCCCCACCAAGTCAGCCCTCCTTCTCACCCTTTCCCCCACCCAGCCAGCCCTCCTTCTCACCCTTTCCCCCACCAAGTCAGCCCTCCTTCTCACCCTTTCCCCCACCAAGCCAGCCCTCCTTCTCACCCTTTCCCCCACCCAGCCAGCCCTCCTTCTCACCCTTTCCCCCACCAAGTCAGCCCTCCTTCTCACCCTTTCCCCCACCAAGTCAGCCCTCCTTCTCACCCTTTCCCCCACCAAGTCAGCCCTCCTTCTCACCCTTTCCCCCACCCAGCCAGCCCTCCTTCTCACCCTTTCCCCCACCCAGCCAGCCCTCCTTCTCACCCTTTCCCCCCTCGATCTCAGCCCGTTCCCCACATTTCCCACCTTCCCAACTCACCCTCGCTTCCGGTGGCAGAGAGCGCGGTTGGTCCAGAAGGTGGCGATGGATGGACACAGGCGAATGGCCTGGTGGGGGAAGGGGGAGAGAAGGGAAGGGAAGAGCCTGGGGCATTCAAGTCCTTTTTCCACCTCCCCCCCTCACACCCTTGATTCCGGTGGCAGAGAGCGCGGTTGGTCCAGAACGTGGCAGCGGATGGACACAGGCGAATGGCCTGGTGGCGGGGACAAGGGGGGAACAAGGGGGGGACAAGGGGGGGGAAGATAAGTGAAGGGACACCCCACCAGGCCACCCCACCAGGACACCCCACCAGGCCACCCCACCAGGCCACCCCACCAGGCCACCCCACCAGGCCAGGTCACAAGGGGAAGGGAAAGGAGAATTCAGGTTATGCTTGATAACCATTCTCCCCAATTCTCAAACACGCCCAGACAGGCGCTACACCTCTGTCAGCGTAGCACGTTATAACTTGTACCGGCAGCGAAATTCGAAAATCCGCTCCCAACGCTGCTATGAGCGGGCGGGACTGCTGTACCTCAGTATAGCACGAGATAGCGGCTGCGATGTTCCCCGCGCTGTACTGCTCGTTGCCCTGCTCTTTCAACCGCTCTGCACGCCTCTGCACACTCGAAACTCCGCTCCCAGTGCTGCTATGAGCGCTCGCGCTCGTTGCGGACTCCCCTGCTGCTGATTGCGCCGGTGGCGCTGCGCCTGCGCCTGCGCCTGCTGCTTGCGCTGCCCCCCTGCCTCCCCCTCTGCCTAACCCGCTTCCTCCCCCGCCGTCCCCTGTGGTTTCCCTTCTCTCTCCCCCTCTTTCTCTCCCTCCTCTACCTGTTCCCCCTCGTTGCTCCCCTTCCCGATCACCCCTCCCCCGCTGCTCTCCCCCAGAGCCGCCGCCTCTTCTGCCGCCCTCGCCTCGTCTGGAACCTTCCGCGCGACCCCAACTAAAGAAAAACGATCGCTCCATGCTAGCCCGATGCTGCTCGATGCTCGCCGGATTCTAGCTCGAGACTACCCCGATGCTACCCCGATGCTAGCTCGATGTCAGCCCCGTTGCTAGCCCGAAACGAAGCGCTGAAACGTTCTTACGAAGATCCGGTTACCACGCTGACTGAACGACGGATTCCCGCGCTGAACAACAGGCTGACAGGCTGCGACGCTGGACGACAGGCTGCGACGCTAAGCGACAGGCTGCAACACTGAATCGATTACACTGGCTCACTGTACTTCAACCCCAAACAAAGGATGTTGACTCAAACGCAGGCCTCACTTCCAGGAAGCTTCAAGTTGCACGTCTCGTTACAGACAAACGTCAGCAGAATTCGAGAAAAACTCAAACTACGGCACACGCACTGTTCCCCCCACCCGCCTACCACCTGATGCTTGGAATCCGCTTGTAAAATTTAATGCTTGAGAACCTTCCCCACCCACTTACGACCCAAATCAGGGCATTATTGCCTTTCCGGACACCATTCCGGCCCTAGCCACGACATTCCCTTTCCGGTATTAAGCCGCCTTTTAGTAGACCCTTACGTTCCTCGGGACCTTTCTCTTCTCAATTTCCGAAAGTGTCTCATATTTCCTAATCAGTACCTGCACGAGCGGAACAGGGTTGAAGTTTCAAATCGAACCAGGAGGCCCCCTGCCAAGCAAGCTGCGGTCACAAGAACGAGTTATTTAGAGCATCGTGCTGTGGCGGTCGACCCAACCGGCCAATTCTGAATTAGGAGAACACTTCGGTATTCAACGGTGACGAAATATCCCACCTCGGTATTGTGCGGTGAATTTGCTCAGCTGCGACCATTGCTCGGTCGGCCCAACCAGCCACCAAAGACAGGGGTGGGTCATACATGCGTACAAAGCTCGTTAAACACGATTTAGTACGTTACGGAACGGCCAAGAACGTTTGTTATCTTCCACCGCTTTTTACAACGCACCGGACTGAATCCCACTATTGAAACAACAATGACCTACCCACCGAGACTACCTTGAGTTATACATTCCAACCATAAGTGCGTAGCGCACTCCGCGCATCGCTTGCTAGCGGGCTCCAGCATTTCTTCCTCATTTTCTTTCCCTGCCGCCATTCCGCCCGTCGCTCGCACGCGTTCGCGCATGGCAGCTCTCATCTTGTGATCCACCCTCGTTGGACTTTTGAGGCGCCTCAAAAGCCATTCCGCCCGTTCCTCGCACGCGTCGTGCCTGGCAGCTCTCTATCTTTGATCCACTCCCGTTGGACCATCATGGTTGTTAGAGGCGAGGACTCGGCGACGACGGACCAGTTAGTAGATCGTGTTCGAGATACTAATACAGATCTCGCAGCGGCTACCATCGAGGATAAGGTGATTCGCTTATCTCCGTTGGATGCAGTGATGGGTCCGTTCGGGTTCACCATAGTTTATATCTTTCCGCCTCCCGAACCTCCATAATCCTGCGATTTGCCGCCTTCCGAGCCTCCTAGAGTCATCAGCCGAATATCTGCCCAACAAGTACCTCTTGCCAAACCAGATACACTCTCCGAACCAATTTCTGCCGAACCTAGAATGTCTTCCGAGGCACGTGATATTCTCGTCGAGACAACCGAGGAGCTGGTGAATCAACCGTACGATTTGGACCGGCTTCGATCGTCATTCGTATATCTAATCGAACAAGATTACCCGATTCTGCTGGGGAGATTGCACTCTGATCCTGTAACGGGCGTAACGAGCGTGCGACAAACGAGGGAATGCCTCGCTGCTGGCGCGAAAGCAATCAGATTCACTCAAGCTCCAAAATCATTTCTTTCAGAGTCCGAACCTGGAAATCCGTTCGTCCCTCTCACAACCACCGAGGCCATGGCTTCCCTCCCAATGTCTCTAATGCCGGAGCGCGATCCGACTGAGTTAATCTCCATCAAGGCTACTATTCTAGCGGATGGCGGGATGGCGATCGGAGTGAATATCAGTCACTGCCTAGTGGACGGCGAGGGAATGTTTACATTCATGAAGATGTGGGGGATGCGGTACAGAGGGGTGAGGAGTGGTACGGAGCAGCAGCGGCATGCTATTTGTCATGATAGGTCGCTGCTGTTTGGGAAGGGAGTTGGGTCTAAGCTGCCCCATCCCGAGTTCAGAGTTCCCGAATCTTCTGCAAAACCTGCACAAGCAGCGACCGCAGCATCGGAAACTGCAGCAGAAGCAGTAACATCAAAATCAGCAGCGACAGAAACAGCTGCATCAGAAGAAGCAATATCACGGGCATCAGCAGCAGCGTCAGAAGCAGTACAATTAGCAACACCAACAGTTTCAAAAACAACAGAAGCACCAGCAAGAGCAGCAGCAGCAGGAGAAGCAGAGGCACCAGAAGCGGCAGCAGTGCCAGCTGTAGCAGCAGCGCCAGTGTTTCCTGCAACCTCGCATTCCATCTTCCACCTCTCCCCCAACCAGCTCAAAACACTCAGATCCGTTGCATCTGGGCCGTTAATTGGCTCCATCGCATCAGGGCCGGGCCGTCAGATCCCAGATCAGAAGAGCATCCAACGGATCACGACCCTCAAGGACCCACCTACGTCAGCACTATTGACTCCGTATCAGCACTCATGCTCCTCCTGATCTCGCAAGCCCGAGGTCATAATAAAGACGTCCGTTTCACCACTGGTGTCAACGGCCGGAGAAGATTAATCCCTCCTCTGCCCAAAGACTACTGCGGAAATGTGATTTTCAATGCCTTGTCTTGTTATTCCGCTTCAGAACTTCGGGAGACAACAGCTGCAACACTAAGGCTTATCGCACGGAGAATCCGACGATCCATTATAAGCTGCTCCGATACCCACATGCGCGACGCCATAGAATACCTCACGGACCAGCAAAACATCTCCTCTGTGCGAGTCGGGACGGATTTTTTCTTCGGGGATGACATCATGCTGACGTCATGGGTGAATCACGGCATGTATGATGCGGATTTTGGCGCCCGGCCATGGTATCTGGGGGTGCCGAGGCTCCCATGCTGCGATGGCATGGTGGTGGTGATGGAAGGGATTGGGGGAGCAGAGGGGTTGGATGTGCTGCTGTTGCTGGAGGCTGCAGCTTCAGAGCGGTTCAAGAGGTTATGGAATGAGGTTCCGTTCTGGCAGTGATTTAGGGTCTGGTATGGGCCTACCGTGGTTCATGGGGGTTGGGGGACCAGAGGGGCTGGATGTGCTGCTGCTGCTGGAGGCATCAGCAGCGGAGCGCTTCAAGAGGTTATGGAGTGAGGTTCTGTTCTGGTAATGATGTAGGGTCTGGGATGGGCCTACACCTTGATTCATGGAAGGGATTGGGGGAGCAGAGGGGTTGGATGTGCTGCTGCTGCTGGAGGCTTCAGCAACGGAGCGGTGCAAACGGTTATGGAATGAGGTTCCGTTCTGGCAGTGATATAGGTAACAAGAGTCTGGTTTGTGTAGGCATGTATAGCATGATGCATGTGTATAGCATTGATGCTGCATGGCATAGTGCGGGTTCAAGAGGTTATGGAATGAGGTTCCTGCTGCGATCAGAAGTTGATCGTGGCCTAGGATCTACTCAGGAAGGTTCGCACGCAGAGAAGTGATGTTGGTGGGCCCTTGACCTCAATAGCAGAGTGAATGTAAAATGCTTTGAGATGATTAACACCTGCAGTACAAGGAATATAAATATGAGTACAGGGGAATTCGAAACGACCTAACTAGCCATGTACTCTAAGGGGTACATTCCCTTATTGCAGCGAAATCCAACCGTGCAACTCCGAGTGGTTACGTAACTGTTCGGGCAGAATCCTCGCCACTGCTGCTGCCTGATGCTGTCTGCCCAACGATCCAGATGCTCCTCGTAACCGTCTGTCCCTTCGCCTTTCTTCTGGCTTTTCGTCTTCACTCTCGATATTGCGTGCTTCGGCTTTACTACGGTGAGGAGTGCGCAACAGTGTTTTTCATTAACTACTATTCGTAACACCCCCCTTCACTCCTGGCCGTAGCTAGCATTGACCCGCTTGACTACCCCGCTGAGTTCGGAGCAGTGCTGGTACTGCTGACGCGGCAGTCTCTTCGTGAGGAAGTCTGCTGCCATGTCGCCCGTTGGGCAGTATGTCAGGTCAACTTTGCATTTGTCAACTTCGTCCTTGACGAAGAAGTACCGCAGTGCGATGTGCTTGGTGCGGTTGACGAAGCCAGGTTTGTTCGCGATCGTGATCGCGCTCTGATTGTCGCAGTGCAGGCGAAAGTTCGTTGAGGCCGGAATTTTTGCTTCCTGCAGCAGTTCCTGAAGGTAGAGACCTTCGCGAACAGCTGCTGTTGCTGCGATAAATTCAGCTTCCGCCGATGACAGGGCAACCAACTCCTGCTTCTGAGAGTTCCAGGAGATGGTGCCGCAGGGCTCGAGGCGGAAGAGGAACCCTGTCCTGGACC